TTTGTTCAGTTTTATCGCTTAGATGTGACAGCCCCTTCGGTGGCTCACTCTGTGCTCTCCGCTGGGTCTGATGTGCTGCACTAGCATGTTCTAATGACCCAAGTTTGGTGCTGCTCTGCGGGGCGTTTATATATGTCCCATACATGATGTTATACCGAGTGAATTGACTGAAAGGGAACGTAATGTTATGCATAAAACTACTGTTCCCTGAAGGAAAGGAACGAGGTACAACATATGGTGGCCCCGCTACACAGCTGGGCTCTGTGAAGTGCAGTTACCGAACTAAGGAGTGATGCGACAGTATATGTATGTGCAGGCGGAGCCAGACATCTGTCGTCATCACATCACCTGCTTAAAGGCGTGATTAGAGGTGGCTTCAGCCAGGACACGCAGGAGCGTGGGTTCCCATACATGATGTTGTACCTCGTTCCTTTCCTTCAGGGAACAATAGATATATGCATAACATTACGTTTCTTTAAGGACAAGGCTGAATGTTGTCCTCATGGACCGATGGTCCCACATCCTGAGGGGGGCAGGCTCTAGCTCCAAAAACACAATGTCCCACATCACAGACAGTTTTAAACAGCAGGAAACAGTGGAGACTCTTTTATGGGATAAATCTTGTGCCAGCAGGAATTTAATTTGAATTGCTCAGGTTGAATCTGCATGTGCAGAATTTGAAATTGAATGCATTGGTTTGAAAATAAGTTTCAATYAACTGAAACTGAATTTAATGTTTTCTGAATTTAAAGTTTTGAAACTGAATTTAAAGTTTTGCATCTGAATTAATTTGCTTTGAAACTGTATTTTGGTCTATTAAAAATTCAGTTTGACTACTTTCACTTTCAGTTCCACAAGTCYATTTCAGTTCCAAAATTCAGATTTTTGTGTCACACATCCTGGTCCTTGAGAAAGCCAGCCAGAGTAATCAAACACAGATCCACAGATTTATGTTTCACTGTGGTGAAGTTTCCCTTCTGTATGTAACATAATTGATGCAATCCACCGTYAAAGTGACAAAAACAGAGTTATTTTACTGCAGTAATTAATTTTACCTATATGTAGAAACATTTACATCACATCATGGATCACATATTGACCAGATGCTGCTGCTGACTGATCCATGGTGGATTGCTTCAACTCTGGTAGTGAAACATAAATCTGTGGATCTGTGTTTGATTACTCTGGCTGGCTTTCTCAAGGACCAGGATGTGTGACACAAAAATCTGAATTATGGAACTGAAATTGAAAGTAGTCAAAGTGAATTTTTAATAGACCAAAATACAGTTTCAAGGCGAATTAATTCAAATTCAAAACTTTAAATTCAGTTTCAATTTAGTGACATTTATTTTCAAACAAATGCATTCAATTTCAAGTTATGCACATACAAATTCAATCTGAGCAATTCTAATTCCTGCTGGCACAAGATTTATCCCTATGCTTTGTCCARTTTTATAACCTTAGTGTTGAGACATTCAGTAGTTCTAGTCAACACCTGGTCCAACGTCTCAGCACTTTGAAGTCCTGGACTCTGACCCTCTGTCCTGCTCCTGTTGTGTTGCAGGTATGCTGTGCTCCGGTTCAACCAGTACTTTGAGACCAAACCTGCAGTGATGGCCCTGCCCAGCCCAGAATGAGACGTGTTGAAGGAGGTGGTGGGTGGGAGGGAAGACTGGAGAATAAAAGCTTGGACTTCCTGTTGGACAGGGACAGTTCTGTGAACCGGTGGACCATCGCTCCACCTGCTAGGTGGTCTTTGTCTTAAATAAGTGCAGTTGCTCTGATTCCCTCTGAGCTGACCTGAACACCTGCCTCAGTTCATCTTCACTTCTCCTCCTGCTCTCTGTAGTTCAGCTCTGATGACCGCAGACTCCTCCTGTCTGCTGTCACTCCATCCCTTGTAGGTCTTTTGGTGCTAAATGCTCCTTCTGCTCCTCTGGTGGTCCACCTTTAACTAACCTGACCAGAGAGCAGCCAAATAATCCACTGATGGACATGAGGATTTATTTCAGCTTTAACAAATAACTCGTCTTCAGAAATGTCCACAAATCACATGTTTAGTGCTTTATGTAAAGAGAGTTCTGCAGCTYCATGGGTCACATCAAGTCAGAGGTCCAACATCTGTTCTTCTGGACAGACTGGATTCAGATGTCTTCAGTACTGAGAGCACAACTTAGACTCACTCAGGATGGTAGTGCCAGGTCATCACCTGGTTTTTCTGTTTCTGTGGTAACTAATGGGACTGAAAGTGTGTGTGTGTGTGTGTGTGTGTGTGTGTGTGTGTGTGTGTGTGTGTGTG